TTTGTATAACTACATAGTAATCACCATTGTAAGTCTAGTGACCATGCATCTCGTACAATTGATCCCTTTCATCCATTTTGCTGTTTCCTCTCTAGTAACTGCCAATCTGTTGTCTGTATCTGTGAGTTGACTTTTTGCTTCATTTGTACAAATTTTTGTTTTTGATTTTAGATTCCACATTTAAGTGATATCATATTTATTCTAACTTATTTCACTTAGCATAGTAGCCTCAAGGTCCATCCATGGTTTTGTAAAAGAGAAGGTTTCCTTCTTTTTAATGGCTGAGTAGTATTCCACTGCTTTTGTTTCCCTTGACTTTGGAGTCATATCCACAAAAGCATTGCTAAGACTAATGTCAAGGAGTTTACTGCCTAAGTTTTCTTCTAGCAGTTTTATCATGTCAGGTCTTACAGTCAAGTATTTAATACATTTTGAGTTAATTTTTGTGTATCGTGTAATACAATCATCTAGTTTCATTCTTTTACACACAACAGTCCAGTTTTCCCAACATCATTTATTGAAGAAACCGTCCTTTCCCCATTTAATGTTTTTGGCTCCTTGGTAATAAATTAATTGCCCATATATGTGGGTTTATTTCTGGGTTCTCTATTCTATTCCATTGGTTTGTGTGTCTGTTTCGGCCAATATCATACTGTTTTGATTACTATAGCTTTGGAATATAGTTTGAAATCAGGGCATATGATACTTCCAGCATTGTTCTTTCTCAAGATTGTTTTGACTACTCAGGGTCTTCAATGGTTTCATAGAAATTTTAGAATTCTTTGTTCTAGTTTTGTGAAAATGCCATTAAAATTTTGATAGGAAATGCAATTGTCATATGTACTTTTATTACAGCCATTCTAGTTATTTTAACCTGTACCTCATTGTGGTTTGGATTTACATTTCCCTGATGACTAATGACTTTGAGCACCTTTTCATGGGCTTATTGGCCATTTGCATATCATCTTTGAAAAAACGTCTATTTGGATCCTTTGCCAACTTTAAAGTAGGGTTGCTTATCTTTTTAATATTGAATGTACTAGCTCTTATATATTTTAGATCTTTATCAGACATAGGCTTTGTAATTTTTCCTCTTATTTTATGCTTTCTCTTTTTACTTTCTTGGTAGTGTTCTTTGAAGCACAAAAGTTTTTAATATTGATGAAGTCCACTTTATTTTTTCTCTTTTGTCTGTGTTTTTCATGTCATATCTAAGAAAACATTGGTAAATCTAAGGTCACACAAATTCATTCTTATGTGTTCTGCTAATAGTTTTATAGTTTAGTTTTGATTCATTTGAGTTGGTCTTTGATCCATTTAGGTTCTTAATCTGTTTTGAGTTAAAAAATTTATGTGGTATAAGGTAGGGGCTTAACTTCACTCTTTCACATATAGATATATAGTTATTCCCACATTAGCATCGTTTTTTGAAAAGACTGTCCCTTCCCCATGGGATTGTTTTGACACACTTGTTGCAAAATGATTACAAGTATAAGTTAAGGATTTATTTCTGGACTCTCAACTTCATTACATTGATCTATATGTCTTCTCTTGTCAGTTCTTCAGTTCCTTTTAATCAATGTCTGTTTGCTCATATACTGCAGTCCATTCAGTATGCAAACATATACTTTATTCCAAAGCAATTTTATCTGCATGTTTTTCATTCTGCAGCTAACAAAACATAGTTAGTTTCACCATTGTAGGAGAGAGGATGACTTTAGATTGTAAAAAGCAATGTCCAACTTCAGATGAGTGGAAACATCTAAATACCAAAAGAAGAAATTAAATGGTTTCATACAGAAGAACAATAATATTAAAATTATTATTTCTTCATCTGAATCTTAAATGCGTAGCTAAATTTTTCTTAGAGGAAAGAGAAACAGACAGGAGGAACCTATATGCAGAATGTAACTAAAATATTTGGAGACACCTATATTCTTGGCATTTTAGTAAAAGGTTTCAATATTCTGTTGAGAATTTAGCCGATTAGTGTAGGGAGCCATTTCGGGTGGTGTAGGAATGTAGCCCAGCCCCCACTCGGAAAGGCCAGTGGGAAGTGAGGTCTGACACACAGGACCCACACTCATGGAGAGGTTTTCCCATGGAGAATCAGACCTGCATTGTACCTAGGCTGCTATGAGACTTGCTTTTGCTAAAACTCCCTCACCCTGAATTGAGGTAGCAAGTACCTTTACTGTAACTTCCTAAAATCTGTGCTAACCCCCCTAATAGGAAGTGTAACCACTTCAACCACTTTTCCCCTTGGTTTGTAACATCCTTCTCTTTGAAGTAATTAGCAACATTCTTTCCTTTGTTATCTGTAAAGAGTTCACCTGCAGTGAACCTGTGCATAGTAAATGAGGACCATCCTCAAGGTAATGTACCCAGAAAAGCAATAAAAGCTTGTCAGGTGGGGCCCGGAGGGCCTCTCTCTCACTTAAAGAGCAGCCATGCTGTCCCTTTTTCTCCACAGGACTTCTGTAGTCCATGTGAATTCATTCATTGAAGCCACAACACACACGGATCCTGCCAGCCAGGGTCTACATCAGATTAGTTCTCTCAACTTTCTGACAAAATAAACTATTTTTCTTGGGAAATTATGATGCCACATTTTGCCAACATTCTTCCACTCATTCCACAGACTGTTCTCATGTCTGAGGTCCTAGAGTTGCCCCCATATAAATAATTTAGGTTGATGAAAATAACTCCCTTTTCTTTTGTCAAAAAAAAAAGAAAATGGTTTAATTCTACCCATTGCAAAAATGGAAATAGTCAAGAAGTCTCCACAGATGTAGTAGGCTTGGACACTATCCTAAAGCAATTTTATCTCAACAAAATCAAACATGTAAGATATGGTATGGTCAATATTTTCTTTCTGAACAGAGAGAACTTTAAGTGGTAGTACTCTAGAATCCATCTGCAGGACATTATTTTTCAAAAATTTTAATTCAATATTACACAGAAGACTTTTTTCCAAGTACATTTTCAGTTTTCAAAAGCATGTGTTATTTATGAAAAATGGAATTCATTTTTTTATTCATTTACACTTAACTCATTAAAAAATTCCTGTTAAACCACTTGGTATCAAGGACTTTTCAGCTTTGTGAATAAGTTTCCAGAAACTTTCTTAAAGATATGAAATGATATTAAATAAATATGTACATGAGTTTCCAAACCATGTGTATAATCTTTCTTTAGAATGCTGTGGCTTTAATTAGTAAAGTGTGCTTTTCTACTATCTGTAAAGAGATGAATGTGAGGAAACTTATCATTTCTCAATGCAAAAACCCCTAAATTTACAACTAAAAAGGTTTCAAATATCACTAGACAATTCAAAATGATTTAAATATAAATAATGTATCTTATAAAAATGTCAGAAAAACATCAGAAATTAAGGAGGAAGAAAGCAAATGGATAATTACCGAGCACTTCTTGGGTATTAAGTACTGGGCTTATCACTTTATATATAAAGAACTTAGGAAATGAATATTTTCATCACATTTTTAAAGATGAGGAAATTGAGTCTCAAACAAGCTAAATAATCTTCCTAGAACCACATAGTGAGAAAGACAAAGCCAGGATTCAAACAAAGGTCTAGTGATTCCTAAGTCCATGTTACTTGTGCTATCCATGAATCTCACTGGATTTGAGGTTAAGAAATCTGGTTTCAAATTATTGTACTTTTACTATATAGTGGTACCGTGAACATGAATAGACGTTAACTTCACTAACTATAGAATGGGTTTGATAATATGCATCTCATAAAGCTGCTTTGGGAGGAAATAAGAAAATACACACATAAACATGCCTGAGCTGAGTTGAGTTGACTCTTATTTTTAGCCTTGCCCTCACTTCAATAAATTTCTCATACAGCACAGCTTAACATTTTCAGATTTCATGTCTATTACATCTTCCAAAATTTTCAATGATTCCCCAATCCCTTATACTACAATTAAAAGTTCATACTGATTATGTTCTAAGTCAACATATTCAACTTTATCACCTTTTATTCCCTCAATAAAACATTAACTTCAGTCGGGTTAATTTACTACTACAGTCACAAATCAATATGTACACTACACTTTAAAAATTTTTTCAGTAAAATATGCATAATGTAAAAATGCCCTGCAGCACAGGACATTTTTAAGGCAGTGAAACTGTTCTGTGTGATACCATAACAGATACATAACATTATGCATTTGTCAAAACTCCTAAAACTGTACAACATAGAATGAACCCAAATGTAAACTGAAGACAACACCACAAATGTATCATAGTAAATGCAAGATGTTAAAAATAGGGTAAACTGGAGTTAGGTGAGGGAGAGAAGAGGTATATAGGAGGAGCTCTGTACTTCCTGCCCAGTTTTTCTGAAAACCTAAAACTCTTTTAAAAAATAAAGTTTATTAATTTAAAAAAACTAACCAAGAAACTAGAAACCAGTGATATCTGGGCACCCATCAAATACTTGGAAATTAAATACAACACTTTTAAATAACTTATGTGTCAAAGAAGAAATTAAGAGGGATTGATCTGAGGGAGAGTATTTTGAACTGAATGAAAATTAAAATACAACAAATCAAAGTTATTAGATGCAACTAACTCTGTATGTAGAAATTTACAGCACAAAATGCCTATGTTAGAAAATAAGGACGGTCTCAATTTAGTGACCTCAGCTTTTACCATAAGAAGCTGGAAAAAGGGAAAGACAAACCCAGAATAAGCAGAAGAAAGCAAATAATACAGAAATAATAGCAAAAAACCAGTGAAATAGAAAATGAGGAAACAATAGTAGAAATCCATGAAAAGTATTTCTTGGGAGGATGAAAAAAGAATTAATAAACCTCTAGCCAGTCTAATTAAAAAAAGAAAAAATAGAGAAGACACAAATTAACAATATCCGGAAAGAGAGAAGAGACATCAGTATAGGTTCTTAAGATAGTAAAAGCATGAAAAGAATACTATGAACAACTTTATGCCAATAAAGTCTGACAACTTACCTGGAATAGATTCCTTGAAAGACTGAGACTGCCAAAGCTCATCCTAGAAGAAATAGATAACATAAACATATGTACATCTATTACAAATATTGAATTTATAATTAAAACCTATCTCACAAAGAGAAATCCAAGCCCAGAAGCTTTCCCTGGTGAGTTCTATAAATCATTTAAGAAAGAAAATCAATATCAGTTTTACAAAAATTCTTCCAAAAAATTGAAGAGAAGGAATACTTGACAACTCTAGCATTAGTCCGTCACAAAACCCAGACACAGATATTAGAAGAAAACTTCTCATCCTTTTAAAGTTATGTTTTCTATTTCTATTTTCAGTCCTACAAAAAAAACCACAACTCCTTAAAAATCTTGGAAAAAGTATTTTCCTTTAAAAGTATTGTAGAGCTGTAAGGTAGCAAGGAAATTATGAGCCAACATCTAAGAAAACACTGGAATTTGGAGAGATAAGCAGAGCACTGATGCACTGACACTACTTTTACTCCGAGGGAGCCTGTTGATCTTGGCACATTTGGGCTTTGGTTTTTAGCAGTCTTATCCACGGAGGAATCAAACTGACACCCAGGCCTACCCAAGGTGGAAACTTAACAGATGACCCCTTCTCCACTGAAGTAAAAAGAAACCTGAAATATGATTACCCTCTCATAACCAGGGGAACAAAGGGATGTTGCTTTGGTACTAAGAAAAGAAAGGAGAAATTCTCCTCCCTGAGAGATTGTGACTGTGGGCTTGCCCTCCCCAAGAATTGCAGACCTGGATTGGGATGTTCCAAGGAATATGAAGCCATGAATGTGTACAATTTGGTCCTAAACTGCTGGATGAAAATCCTCTCTGAAAGAAGGTACGTCCAACCTAGACCTCAAAGAATCCTTTTACAGAATATTTTAGTGACAGTAAATAGTGTACAGTAAAACATACACATGTGCACAAATGCATAAAAAATCCCATGAGAAAACTGCAGACACAAAAGATGTAACAAGCTTCAAATGATCAGCTAGAGATTACTTTTAAAACCTGGCTTACTATACTTAGATAAATAAAAAAAACAAATTTAAAAATCAGAATACTCCAAGAAGGGAGTGATCATATTTGAAAAAGATCTGATGATATTGTAGATAAATTAATACAATATATTAATATTAAGGATATGTGGGTAAATATAAGAGCAAACTAGAAGATATTTTAGGAGAAAATATGCAGAATGCAGCACAGATAGACAAAAAATGTGAAAATATAGAAGAAAAGTTAGGAAACTTGGAGGAGACCAGAAAACCTAATATTCATTTAGTGAGAGTTCCAAAAGGAGATGAAGAAGAGCAATATTTGAAGAAATAATTACCAGTGATGTTCCAGAACTGATGAAGAGCCTCACTTTAAATGACTTGGCTATCTCACTATAGCTCTCAAATATTTGCAACATGAGCTATTCCATTTTTTAAATGCTACTTCCTTTGTACTATGACAATTAGAAACTTCACTTATGTGGGTTTTTTTTTACCAGATATGTCATTTAAAATACTACTTTTGTACTTGATAAATTGCAACTCTAGTCATTTTGGACTAATATTTAAAAATGATACAAGTTTCAGGTTGGGCTATTCCATAATAAGTAATTAACAGTACTTAAATCTTGATGATGTATGGATATGTTAATGTAAAAAAAATTAATGGCAAAATGTGGTGGTGGTATTCAACATTTTCCAGACCAAAGTTATGGCAGTCATACTTTATGGTGTAGAACTCTACAACATCAGTTACCCATTTGTTTGTGGTCTAGAGTGAACACAAATTTCTGAAGACAACCTTATGGTTTATTCATAGTATTTTATTTCTTTGGCACAACTCCAAGTACCAGGTGGAGTGACTTTCTATACAGGCAGCTTTTTGCATGTTTTAATATTCACTAGAAAATGTTGATGCTAACCTCAGCTCTGTTAATTATTAAAGCATAAGGCTCTGTGCTTTATTAGTGACAATGAATAGCTATACTCCAGGTAGTTTTCAGGGGGATTCATCTCAAATTCAGAGCTATTTACTATTTTTTTTAAGCTCAGAGGAAAGAAACATTAAGGAGAACTACTTAAGACATTTGTAATTGATCCATTTCTCTGGATACACTGAAATCCACTCCCAAATTGAGGCATGCGATACATAGAATCTTGCCTGTAATGGCTCAATAGACAACTTATATTCTGGTTTTAATTCAAACATAGATTTGCTTTCCTAAGAAACTGATTTGCTTTTTGCATTAGGACATGAAACTTTTCTAACCTTCCTCCCCTTTTGACTTATGTTCTTACTTTTATATGATTTTGCCATATTGTTTGTATCTTTACATACTTTCTTTTTGGAAACAAACCATTGCATAGATATGTTTGGAAACACTAATTATCTAAATACACACCTAACATCAGACCACCTAAATGTATAAAGTAAATACTAACAGAACCAAAGGAAGAAATAAACAGAAATACAATAGTAGTTAGGGCTTTAATACTTCACTATCAACAATGGATATATTAGAGAGAGAATTAATTAGAAAATGTTATATTTGAATAACAGTATAGATAAAATGGATCTAATAGAAATATAAAAAATATTTCATGCAATAGCATCAGAATACACATTCTTCTCAAATGCACAGAGATCATTCTCCAGGGCATATCATGTGTTACACCACAAAACAAGACAGCACATTTAGGAAGATTGAAATCATATCAACTATCTTTTCTGATTACAATGATATAAACAAGAAATTAATAACAGAAGGAAAGCTAGAAAATTCATAAATACATGGAATTTAAACAACACACTTCTGAGCAAACAATGGATCAAAGAAAATGAAATAAAAGGAAAATAAAAAATATCTTGAGACAAATGTAAAAGGAAACACATATAAAAACTTATGAGATACAACAAAGGCAGTTCTAAGAGGGAAGAACTTTATAGTAAAAAATGTTAAGTGAAATAAACCAGTTGGAGAAAGACAAATACCATCTGTTCTCACTTACATGTGGAATCTAATGAACAAAATAATCTGACAAACAAAATAGAAACAGAGGCATGGATACATGGAAAGGGCTGAGCTATCAGAAGGGAGGGGAGTTGGGGGGACTGGATCAAAGAAAATGAAGGGATTAAGAAACACACACACACACACACACACACACACACACACACACACACACACACAGACACCATGGAGACCCAGACAACATTGTAGTAGTGATTGCCAGATGGAAAGGGAGCTGTAGGGCAGGCAGAGGTAGGCAAAGATGGGTAGGGAATAAGGATGGAAAGAGACTTTGCTTGAGGTGATGGGTACATGATGCAGTGCGCAGATGATGTTTTATTGAGTTGTACACTTGAACCTTGTACCCCAATAAATTTTAAAAAAAGAAAAAAGAAAGATCTCAAATAAACACTCTAACTTTACACCTCAGGAAGTAGAAAAAGAGGAAAGTAACTTTAAAGTTAGCAGAATACAGGAAATAATAAAGATTGGAGCAAAACAAATTAAATACAAACCAGGAAAATAATAAAAAAGAACAACAAAACAAGAATTGGTTCTTCGAGCCTTGACTGGTATGGCTCAGTTTGTTAAGCATTATCCTGCAAAACAAAAGGCCACTGGTTCGATTCCTGTTTAGGGCACATGCCTGGGTTGCACAGCTTGGTCCTACTTGGGGCATGGACGAGAGGCAACTGATCAATGTTTCTCTCTCACATAGATGCTTCTTTCCCTTTCTTTCTCCTTCCCTTCCCCTTTCTAAAAATAAATAAATAAAATCTTTTTAAAAAAGAATTGGTTATTTGAAAATATTAACAAAACTGACAATCCTTTAGTTAGACTAACAAAAAAAGAAAAGAATCTAATATGAAGTTATAAATAAAAAGGGACATTATAACTGATACAATAATATTGGCATAATTAATGATATGCCAATAAATTAGACAACCTGAAAGTAATGGATAAAATCCAAGAAACATACAATCAAGACTGAATCATGGAGAAACAGAAAATCTGAACTGACCTCTAAACAACCTTTGAACAAAAAACCCCCCAATACCAGATGGTTTAACTGATAAATTTTACTAAACATTTAAATAAAAATTAAACCAATCCTCAAACTCCTCCAAAAAGTAAAGTGGGGGGGAAGACTCTCAGACTCATTTCATAAAGAAAGTACAAGCCAAATAAAGGAAGTACAAGAAGACTATGAGGCAATATCCCTGATTAATATAAATGCAAAAGTTCTCAACAAAATACCAGAAAACTAAATTCAATAGCATATTATTAAAGATAATATACCACAACCAAATAGAATTCATCTCTGGGATGGTAAAATGACTCAACATACACAAGTCAATAAATGTGATATACAACATTAAGAGAATAAAAATAATACAATCATCTCTATAAATGCCAAAAGAGCATGTGACAAAATTCAATATCCATTCATATTAAAAGCTATAAAAATTGGGTATAGTAGGAGCATAACTCAATATAATAAATGCCATATATGACAAACCCAAAGCTCACATAATAGTCAATGGTGAAAAATTGAAACCTTTTTTTCTAAGGTCAGAAGCAAGATAAGGGTGCTCGTCCCCTAGCCAGAGCAATAAGGCAAGGAAAATAAATAAAAGGCATCCTAATGGAAAGAAAGAAGTAGAATCATCTGTTTGCATGTGACATGATTTTAAATAGAAAAAAACCTTAGACTCCATAAAAAACTTTTAGATGAACTCAAAATGAATTCAGTAAAATTGTAAGATAAAACTTTAGTATACCTAAACATTAACAATGAAGGACCTGAAAAAAATCATGTTTATAGTGGTATCAAAACCAGTAAAATACTTCAGAATAAATTTAACTAAAGAGGTGAAATGTCTGTATACTGAAAACTGTAACACACTGATGAAAGAAATTGCAGAGGACACAAATAAATGGAATGATATCCTGTGTTCATGAATCTGAAGGATTAATATTGTTAATATGTCCATGCTACCCAAAGCCATCTATAGATT